ACTACATAATTTTAAGGGTTTTCTAAACGTTCTAAGCAGTCAATAACAAAAAATAAAAACAAGTTTTAAAACTAATTGGTATATTACTCTGGCTGGTGCAATAGAGAAAATAAGCATGGAGTGCGATTTGTTCTATACTTTACCGTTATCCGTTCTCGGGTGCCCTTTTTAAGGGCCCCTCACTTCAATAGACCGGTTGCCCTAACTTACCTACGCCCCTGATCCTAATGATGAACGATGGACGCGAAAGGAGAAAGAATTTGTTCTTTATTATATGTTTGGTTTTGTTTATATAAAAACAATTAATTGTCAAGTTCATTAATTTTTTTGTATTAAATGAGACCTTGATTGTACCTATCAATAGCCGTTTCATATCCGGATACACACTACCAATCGACCCCTTGACCATCAATGACCCCCTTCAAAATTTCATCGACCCCGCTGGGAACCCCTGGTCTAACGTATGGTTGAAGGCTCAGTCCATTAGGTCGTGGAGGTAACCGACTTGCGGTAGAAAAAGTCCCAAAGAACAAAAAACGTATAAACTGTACTAATACATCATCATGATAACGTCATAATGCACTTTGGCCTTCAACTCCCACAGGTAGGCCTTACACTCAAGTATCTACGTCATGAAAGGGAAGCGCAAATGAATGTTCCTGTGACAATTCCGAACATGATTATCCTGTTGCAAATCTTAAAATGTACAAATTTAGGTCTTATTTATAATCAAATAGTTCAAATAATCAAATCAAATCAAATAAATCGATAGCTCTACAAACCATTTCATAAATACCAAATCTCGAGAAACAAAATGCGGAATAGCATTTCTACATAGCGTAATTGACTGGTACTGGTTACATTAGATCTTTATTTCTTGTTTCATTACCTAAACGTTTAGTAGTAGAATAGCGAATCGAATTAATTTTTTAATAAAATTTTTAACGTATCATTAGTTGTAAAGTATTTAACTAGATTCCGAGTCAATGGTATCACAATCGGATGTTTATTCAGTTTTCCCTCGCTTTATAGAGCAAATGCAGGAATAATAGCTTCTTGCATCGTCTACCTCATAAATGCCGTAGAGACTGCATTAGTACACACTTTTTTACCTTTTCTGACAAGCGTACATAAATCTACCATGAAAAGCTTATCGAAGTAGTTATTTTACAATCTACAACCAATGGGGGAGGATCGACGACTTCATTTTTTTTCATCTACCCTCTAGTGCAATTAGTATCACGCGCCTCATTTTGTTAAATCACCTCCACAGAGCGAACACGTTGTGATCCTTCATGGTCAAGGATGCAGGATTTCCTCTCACTCTGAAACAGCCCAAGCTTCATCCCGTCGCCTTGCTTCACCAGAGCCTCTCCAAACCAGCACTGTTTCGCGGTGTTCGTACCACCCCATGTTGGGACGCGCTCTCTTATTGAATTGTGTGATTGAGTTAAAGAGATCGATTTGTTCCGTTCTATTCTGAAAACGGAGCAGGGAAAGACATTTTCGACTTCTCGTTCTACATTCAAAGATATTTGCGATGTGTCACAATACTCTGCCATCGTTATAAGTTTCACGGTGGAGGTAAAAGCGGTATTTTTGAAGACCCTAATGTAACATTGTACCCCACACAGCTTTTGCAAACGTTTTTATACATATTTCAAGTGATATGGCCGAACTAGCGACAGTAGTAAACTAAGTTCTTACAAAGTACTTTTCCTAGTATTTATATATTATAAATTATGTAATATTATAAATAAATAAATAAATTATATTCATTTATTTGCACAACAATGCAGCCTGTTTTAAAATAAAAGAAATCTTGAACTCTGATGGTTAAGGGAAAGATGATGAGTTGAGTAAATATACTGAAGGAAAACACGGAAGAGCCAGCTGGGATCAGCGACTTATTCAAACCTCCCAAGATGTGCGAAGTACCTTCCGAAGTTTTCCCAACAAGGAATATGATCGCAAGCGAAAGCGTAACTCGTTCCTGGTTTGGAGCAGAAGCTTCGTAGAACGAGCGTAGAGTCCCAACAGTAGAGGATTTTCGGCCCTAACTGGCTGGATCGAGGGCCTGCTTGGATGAGAATAGAGACTGGCTGCGCTGAAAGTCGTTTCCCTGGTTCCCTCCGCCCACAGTGATCCTCGATGACTAGTTGGGTTACTCACATTCCTGCTTCGTGTTCAAATCCTCATCGATCCAAGCAGAATTGATAAAACGGGTTCGGGGCAACTTTTTTCTGGGATCTCCCATTTCCACTTTCCCTCAATTTCGCCATTTCACTATCATCATTCAAATCACATAGCCCCTATCACATATCCAACGAACCATTTACCTGAAGTACGGGTGAAAAGGCTCAGGTTCTGAAGATCACAATACAGTTAGTTGTTTTTCTCCGATTACTTCACGGCGAAAGCCGAAGTAGAATATCAGGAAAAGAGTCACGGGTCGAGCGCGATTCTTTTTCTCCACTTTCCGCTTGTCGTCCGTAGTGCCGGCGACGGGCAGATCCCCCGACCCCATAAGGTGCATTTCCTATGAAAGATTCCGCTCGCATTACGAATACGCGGACGTCCGGGTAAGGTCTGAACTAGGCAATCGTGCCATCGGAAATGCAAGGCAGTCAAGAGATACGACAATGAACCATTCTCATTGGGAAAGTCAACGCAGCTTACGAGGAATGAAGGCCGCCACATCCACTGGAGGATGATGAAAGGTGAAGGTCAAGGATAATGATCGATCAAGCCTGAAAGAACAAACGATTCGAGGAGCTTAAGAAGTTTTACTTGCGAAATACGTATATAGTAGATACAATTATGAAGTCATACAGAAACGTAGGGCAACCTCATGTAATGATACTAGTGGTCGCCCAATAGTCGAAAATCGACCGTAATTCATTTTATTTTTAACTTTATTGCGATTTTGTTTAAAATGATGTTCTATTAGTCACTTGCGAGCGTTTAGGAATCATTAACGCAGTTGTTTGCTTTATTTTCCTGCAATGCCAATGAAAACAGGGGGATCTCTGAGCTTCCCGACCCTTCCACATAGCTGAGAAATTCAACGGAAACCGGTCTCGTGACCTCAACCGCCAACAGAGCTAAGTCCTTCGGAAGTCAAATATACTGGCTCCAGTACCATTTGTTTATATGTAATTTTATGTTAAGTGAAAAAAAATAACACCACTGCAAACTTGTGTAAATCGTTCATCACTACAAACTTTGAGTTCACGTGCGACTACACATTATTTTTACAAATATCATCACTATTATTAATAATATGCTTTTCACGAATACAAACCCAAATACGGAATAAAGTATTTTTCTCTTAAACGCTGATCTTCGAATACGTCTAAAAATGTCTCTTTTGTAGATTGCGGCATAGAAAACAAAAATCGGGTTCCCTAAAGAACACGAAAATCGGGTTTTCGGCTCTAAAACGCATCGTCTCCGAGTCAGGTACGACGTACGATAGTGGCAAGCCACAGAGTGTAGCGAGATGCCTGTGCGCACTATATTAATTTAATATATTTGTAATACATATTATACATAATTTTAAGCTTTCTGCACTCCTTCACCATACACACTTTAACTATGCCGAATCTCACACTACTCCTTGCGCCCAATAAGCTTAAAAATGCGTAAAATGTTTTCTCTTAACATATTAATATATAGATTGGGCTCTCCTGCAATGTGAGTACATATATTTCAGCCTACTGAATTGAAAAAATGAAATTTGTAAATATTTAACAAGAGAAATTATGACACGTGCAAATGTTGACATTTTAATGTATAAACTGCTTCTCGAGAGATTGCACACAGCAAGAGTGGGTACGCAAAACCCATCGTACCTGCGGCTGCTGCGGTATTAAGGTTAGAATATTGGACTGTTATACCCAAGTTTACCGGTTCAAACTTGATCAAAGCCGTGGACTTTTAAGAGCGAAAAAAATATTCGTAGTCCTTTCTTCGGCGGGTAAATAAACAGGTTATCCCATGATGTAGATTTACTGCATGTAAAAGATCCCCAAGCCTAAAAGATGATATTGAGTTAAATTCAAAATCGTCTACTTCGTCGCCCGAGCTAGCATAATGAAATTTGCGTGGTCAGATGAAAGGGCGAGTATGATGGCCTGAGTCTCGCCATACAAAATAAGTCATAAGTGATAGATTGATTGTACCTTCGTGAAGAATCCCGTAACAGCCGCGGGTCTATTATCCTCTTGCTACAGCAAAACGTCACGTTCCTTTAGGCGCCTGTCTCGTACAAGACATCGTACACCTGCTAGAACTTATGTTTCTCGAGCCTTTACCGTAGGTGTTACTTCTCCACTACAGGTACTACAGATGCTACATAAACTTCCATAATTGCAATTTGTATTTACGAAATCGCTCGATCAAACTATACCAGAACAATGTGTTGCAAAGTAGAATTTAACAGCGTAAAATCTAGAATAGTATAACAATGACAGATCTTCGTTTCTACTTTCTGCCAATCAGTACTTACTAAGTTATTCTTCTACAAAAATTTCAGTAACTATACTCGTATTCTTGTAGCCTAACAATTCAACCCACTGACGTCCATAGACGCATTTGGAAAAGAGTGGACCGTGAGATACCCTCCGGCCAATCCTTCGATTTCTACGCACATTTCTCCATCGTCTCACATCGCACGATCCAAGTCCACAATGTTATGGCACCGCGGCGGCGCCGGGGGCGGTGGCGGCGGCGGCGGCCGGGGCGCGAAGACGCGAGGGGGGGGGGG